CCCTCTAGAGGTCGCTTGTTTCCTGTTTCGATAACACTCGATAAAAAGCCAAACGTAAGTCTGCTACAGATTGTAGGTCCTTCTTCAGATTCCGCTCCCAGCTTTTCGTATTCCATATGTGGATTGTGTCGTGTTTGGTGTCAAGTTGACTTCTGACTGTTTTGTTTTGTCGGGGTTAATGTTGCTGGTAATGATAGTATTGATATTTTTGCTGTAGTTGTTTTCTGTGTTAAACAATGACGTTACTCAGGGCATCATGCAGCCGATCAGTTTACGATCTCTTTGGTTCATCAAGTTACCTTCCGTGACTTAACCTGAAATTAAAAAGATCTAATATATAGATTTAGCCAAGCCTAAAAGCGGAGCTCCCAATAAGTGAAAATTTAAGTAAGATTTCTTTAAGTAAGATTTCTTTAAGTAAGATTTCTTTAAGTAAGATTTCTTTAAGTAAGATTTCTTTACATGTATTAAAAAACTCATAGCCAGAAATTCATTCAGTATAGATTAAACCCATTGACACTTAACGTGTAACACGTGCCTGTGAAAAGTCAAAATTTTGGAGAAACCAAGAAAGTAAACACAATGCGGAGTAAATTTTTAAAACTCATCATTCCCGAAAAACAAGCTCCAGCGAAAGAGGACTAATTAAAGAACTTATTTCCGGCGAAAAAAACCATAGGTGCATGTTATGTTTTAACTCAAAAATCAAGATGAAAGATAAAAATTGCTAAATATTTTCGCATGTGTGGCAATGGCCATGTCGATCATATTTCAAAATGGAATTGCGAATATTTGCCCGTGAGTGAAGAGATCTCAAGTTCTATGGAAGCAAGACTAACTGAATGGCCAAGAAATATTTCGGGACGACAGATTTATTCAAAACAGTTTTTGATTTGCTGTTATAAGCGAAAAACATACGAATCTCTTACTAGTACAAAGCCCACGCGGTAAAATTCATCATACTTAGATCGCTGTTTACTTGCCCTCAAGGCCAGAAATTGCGCAGCGTTATGTTGAAAATTCTGAAAAAACTTCAATTTGGCGCAAAATCTTCCATTAAAAGAACCTTTTGAACACATTGTTACTCAAACATAAAATTTACCGCGTCATCGAATCATCAAATAGTCGCTAGGCCTTGCCGAAAGTTCGGTTTTCACTTTACGTCCATAATTCGCATCGCCTTAGAGAATCGTAGTGTCGTTGACTCGAGAGCTTATTCTGTCACCTTTAATACCTTGATATCCATACTTTTCCAAGCAGAATATTCTACAGCATTGTTACTTTACATTCTGAGATCCACAAGGTCTAACTCTATCGCAAATGAACGAAAACTCGGACCTGAAACTTTTGAGGGTTGGCCGCGCAGACGCCATATTTTCAAATTTGATATAGTACTTTCGTGATAGCATCCATGACAGAGGGCACGTACATATATACGCACGTACGTACGTACGTACGCTCGGTCAGTCACGTGACAACCAAACGAAAAGAGGTTGACCGTATTCCATTAGAATGGCGCTCGGCCCAACCCGCGCGAAGCGCGCGTGGGAGCCCACCTGTTACTTACATAAGACTTCGTACGCACCCTTTTTGCAATACAAAGGCGCATTTCGGAAAGGGTGTACAGTTCAAGATTACAAATGAAAGAGCTTAAAGTCAGTTTTAGGGAGTGATATTTTGAATCAAGAAAGAATTCTTTATCCTTCCTTTTTGAACTTATTACAGGTGGGGAGTCCTTTCCACAAACCGCAATTATATCAAACCACTCCAGAGTTTTAGCTTCCGATTGTTTTTACACTTGTAGTAACATAGGATTCTGTAGTTAAGTAGGTTGAAAAGGCCATCTTTTGATTCGCACCCTAATAAGGATATGTCTGTGCAGGACTATTTGGCTATTGATATGAGGGGTAAAGCTTATTCAGTCAGGTCGAATGGGGTTGTTATTTTACAGCACTCGTGAAACATCTTCCTTATCATTCAATGCGAAAAATTTTGGAAGTCGAAAAGCATTATAAATGCACAGCAGGGGCGCAAATCTACTGGAGCTAACGCTGATATATCAATGTATGTCACCAGAATAAAAGAAGCCGTCGTCTCTTAATCATAATTAAACCACATTTAGGAAATAAAGTGACTCTCCCAGAATACAGTTTTGAAAGATCAGGTAAAGATTGAAATATCTGACAAATGCCTTTTATAGCACCTGTATTTAATTCAGATTTGGGTGTTTTCAAAAAAATTCGTATTAGTAGTGTGCATTTCAGTAACTGAAGAAAAGTTTTGAATTAAATAAGCATCGAAAATGCTTTGCTTCTACTAGAAAAAGCCAAAGAGCCAAATTATTTCAAAAGAATGTAGGGCTTTTGGGAAAGAAATGTGTCCGTCGTGGGCTACTGATGACATTCGTGATGAAGGAGCTACGGACGAGAAGTAAAATGGAGAGCGAATTCAGGTATCCACATGAAAAGCCATCGTTAGCCGACACGAGATGGTCCGTATGATTTAAACGCAGTACAGCGGAGTGCTCGCATATATGGAGAGAGATGTAGCTTTCAAAGTTACAGTTATATCAATTGCTTTGATTACGTTTCCAATCTTATGGAGTGTATGTTTACGTTGGTATTTAAACAGAGTGGAGTGAAATTTGTTCTAAACTCAGACCAAATTTGCACAACAACGGTTAAGTACTATTATGTGTCACTTTAAATACTTATATTTTGAAATCGAAAAATTCAATAACTCAATAATTCAAAAACTATAAAGAATTTAAATTTTACATTTTTTAGAAAAAGGTCTCAGGGACAAAATTGCAGAATTCACCACTCAGTCTCCTAATATGCGATGGTTACTTAAAACATGCCTTCGAAGGTTTCTTTTTAGTGTTGCTTTCTCATTACCTGAGAAAAAAGTACGATTTTGATGCAAAAAAAACTATGCGATTTCTAAATTTTCCAACTGCCCAGGGCCAATCAGATTGCAAGGATCACCAAAAATGGCTGTTATAGGGATTTGCAACTGAGGGGTGTAATCGAGTATGATACATCGCCCTAATTTAGGCCGAAGTATACGTTTAACCTTTTGTGTTCTGTGTGGTATACGCAAGAACAACTGTTCACTTCAGTGTCGGTGAAAGTGGTGGATGTTTCACCTGGCTGCATTGTGGCTAAGTAACATCAATCGCTATTGTCGTTTATGCAAAGAAGGTTGGGTTTGTGGACCCACGGAATTTAAAGTTATTTTTATTACAATTTGCCGCATAAATCATGTGTTTTGGGTTTGTTATGGGATTCTAGAGAAACAAAAGTATTTAAATGCTCCCGTTAAATTTATGCACAATTTCAAGCTGATGATTTGAAGAGCAGAGGTCAGTCAAGCAGATCAATATTTCACCTGACGTGTACTGAGGTAGTGGAAAGGCAGTGCAAACCTACGAAAATAGTACAAAGTTTCTGGAGGTACCCATGACGGGGGCAACGCTTACATTAATTCGTGGCGTGATGCTTAAAGGGAAATTGAGATTATTATTTCTAATCCCTGATAGAGATTGAAGAATATTCTGACCTATTCCTTGTTTTTTCTCGACATGAATTGGAGTGTAATTCAAACTCCGCTAACAAAAATTAATTTGGGAGAGGAATGTTATCCATCGAATATTTGGGAAACTGACTAAATTTAGTAACGCTAACATCAACCACTTAATTAGCAAAACTTTTTTCTAACCGGTTTCTACTTTTTAAAAACTGAAAATACACCATAAAGTATATGAGGCTTCTCTGTATTTACACTGTAGTTCTCTAAGAACAAACATTATCTAAATGAAAAGGAAAATTGACATACACTGTATGCATTTGGTTAGCAATGGGAGATCTTACAACAGATTCCTAATCTGTGCGACAAAACTATTTTTAACAGTATTGAATTGTATTTCAAGTTTTAAAAGTTCGACTCAGTAATTAAATAATGATTTCTCGCGCTATTCTCCCTTGCAGCAGTGCTGGTTCTCTATTGGTGGTCGCTGGTCATCACGTGATAGTTTGTGAAAATGGTTTGGTTTGAGCATCTTTTCTATGACCGCTGAGGATTCTTCAAACTGACTGAACCGGTATTTCATGTAATCCTCCTGTTTGGCCGCTAACTT